AGAACATGTTTTCCCAGTCTCAATAGTTAATACCCTGATATCATTAGAACGTGTTTTAACAGTTCTTAGTCTGAGGTCATGGAGACATGTATTCACAGTTTTAACTTCAATATCATCTGAATTACATGTATATATTAAGTTTTAACTTTTAGACCATTTGATCACATTTTCACAGCTCTTCTCTGTAATCATTCCAGCGTATATCAACCGTTTTAACTTTTAGATCATTTGATCACATTTTCACAGCTCTTCTCTGTGTTGATTCCAGCGTATATCAACAGTTTTAACTTTTAGATCATTTGATCACATTTTCACAGCCCTTCTCTGTGTTGATTCCAGCGTATATCAACCGTTTTAACTTTTAGATCACTTGATCACATTTTCAAAGTCCTTCTCTGTGTTGATTCCAGCGTATATCAACAGTTTTAACTTTTGGATCATTTGATCACATTTTCACAGCTCTTCTCTGTGTTGATGCCAGCGTATATCAATCTTTTTAACTTTAAGATAAATGTAACGTGTAAAAGCATCAAGAGTCCAAATGTTTGTAAATTTTCGTTTATTCAATGAAAACTCAAATCTTGTTGTTATGAGTAAAAATGTTGCCAAGGTAACAAAACATGTGATTTATTTTAATTCTTTTTCACATTTAATCGACGGTGGGTATATATACTTTCTCAAAATATGCAAAATATTTACTTACCCGTAAGCAACGTGATATAATTTTTGTGATAAAATTTTGTCATATTTAAAACTTCAAGTTATACATTAAAGCTTTTACATGCATTGTGAATATTTATATATTTCTTATGATACAAATACATTTTCTTCTCATGTTTAATTTTACTCATCTGGTGGCATGCTGCTTTAAGTCTAGTAATTGTGAATGAAGCTTTGACAAAATAAGGATTTCGTTTTGTTTCGTTTATTGATATTTGAAAAAATTGAAACTATCCTTTTAATAAGTTGTATCTTTAATGACAATGTTTGATACAACAACTAATTACACAGAAACACTATGACAAATGAAGTTGTAACTTGAGATGGTAACTAGAGGCAAAACTTTGTTCAAATAAACCCTCTTTTTCTTTCCTTATATTGAACAATTTATTTGCAATGCAATATAAACCCTAACGGCAGTTATATAAATTCACAGAATCAAGAAAAATACGTGACAGTCACCGTGAAACACGTGCACAGAATGATACAGAAACTATTGCGGAATAATTAGGTCATTATAAGAGGTATGTACATGTATTTTGCTAAAAATGAAGTTTGCTCAGGCAGAACAAGCACCGAACATGATCTGGTACTGCAATGTCCATGTTAACCAAATTCAAGTCTAGATCAAAATTATTATTATCATTATTATTATTATTATTACATATGTACTATAATTATTATCATCATCATCGTTATCGTTATCGTCATTATCATGATTATGATTATTATTATCATCATTATCATTATTATTATTATTATCATTATCAATATTATTATTATTATTATCATTATCATTATTATTATTATTATCATTATTATTATTATTATTATCATTATTATTATTATTATTATTATTATTATTATTCGTATTTTTATTATTATTATTATTATTATTATTATTATAATCATTATCATTATTATTATTACTTTTATTATATCATTATCATTATAATTATTTGTCTTTATACTTACGGCATTGTATATATACAGTATTAAACAGTGATTTTTACCTGCATAGATGTAATCGTTCAAATAGTTAATGTGATGCTGTTAATTAGTTCGAACCAGCACTGTTCAAAAATTAAAACTCGATAAAAAGATAAAGAAAATGGTTAATATCGCTCCATGAGTGTTAAATGGAGGTTGAACGTTGTATATTTTAGTGTTTTTTTTAGTTGGTAATAATGATAATGATAATCATAGGGTACGTAAATTTGTTATATTATCATAGATTTCAAACAGTTCGCGCTTCAAGTAAGTTGTATCCTTAAAGTGTTTACAATAAATTGAAATGCAAACATTAAAAGAAATCTAACAAAAGCTCCTTGCTGTTTGATACTATAATAAATGGGCACTACTGGGTCTAGAGTTTGATTTGATGCAAGTTTCTTACACACATAATCCAATAAAAGATAATTCAAATGTATTACATGTACAATAAGGGGCGTCCTTTACCGAGACTTCAAATCAATTGGCCCTCACCGCTGTGGGTTCGAATCCCGTCAGGCACTTTAGATTCTTTCATGTGAGGAAGCTATTCAGCTAGCTTACGGAACGTCGGTGGTTCTACTCAGGTGCCCGTTTGTGCATAAAACATGCACGGAAGGGCACTTGAGGTCTTCCTCCACCCGTGAAGCTGGAACGTCGCTATAATGACCTAAACATGAAACCCAATCAATCAATCAACCCAATCAATCAATCAATCAATTAATCAATCAATCAAACAAACAAACTATAATCAGTTGACTCGCCTATTCTGCAGACGATAAAGAATGAAACACACATTTGCACAGATAAGTTAATTAAAATCCGTGCAATGAATAAAACATCAGGTGGTGAAGTTAAAAGGGATCATTTTATTACGGTATTGTTATTTGATTCGCACAGTTCAATTGTCATTGGAATTTCATACAAGACAGCCTCGAAAAAGCTTTAAAAGAAAAAGAAATTGAAAAATTTGAATACATAAACAGGTACAGTACCTATTCCTTATTTAAATTGAAACGAAAGTTTAAAGGGACTCCACTTAGGTTTTTAGACACGAATGGACAAAACGTATTTTTTTCAAGACTTTAGTATTTAGACCGTTTTCTCAAATCGATGCCAAGCGATAATCAGTTTATTACACATATTGGCCAATAAATGAAAAGCGTTGCAACGCTTTTCACTCATATCGCCCGAAAACCGCATACAAATCGATTATTAATTTTGTACCGAGTATATTTAGATACTATGTATTGCATAGTTTTCCGTTTTAAGTGCACAAGTTATTTTATGAAAAACTTTCAAATTATTATGATTTTAGGCTATTTGATCTGAATGGAGTTCCTTTAATAACTGAATAAAGAAATATAAAAAAAATCGAACACGATAACGGTTACATTACTTGGTGGTACCATTATAATATAATGGGTTGTGCTAGTCATTTAATTATAAAAGTTTGCCTTTTTATTGCAATAGAATAGAATTAAAGTTGGCATCGACACATACACCAGAGTAGGGTAATGGTAAATATATCTTATGGAAAATTGTTTTGTTTCTCATTGTATGTATTTGTTTATTTGAATTTCTATGGTTATAAACATTGTACTATGTTTTATGCTGAATAATGTTCGTAGGGCTTTTCCAGAATTCGAACCATGGCCTTACGAAGCGGACACTACCTCTACGCTATATACCCCTACATCTCTATGAAATGCTAAATAAAAAACGGTTTAGGTAGTTAAAGATTTAGGCGATAAAATAGTATGCTTTTATATGGGAATTATCGACACCCCATACATGTCAATATAAATGTAAACAGATAATGAAAGGAATAGCGGATTCAAACTATAAAACAGAATGAATCAATGCTCATATTTTGTGATAATGTGTTTGTATGGTTATACAAATACAGCTTATACTGAAAATTCAAATATTGTTTAAGCCGGTGCTATGCGGGCTTTAGATTGCGTCTATTGAACAGACACAATCAGCAAAGTTAATGAAATGCGTTTTATTTACTTGAGCAGCATGGGACTTCCTTTTTCCTTTTATTTATTTTAACAGCATTCATCGTTTAAATGGAACTTCCTTTTTCCTAAATGCAAAAGTTCTCAATTCAAATAAAAGTATTCAGTGAGTGCGGTGATTTGATTGGTTGGTTTCGATTTCTAAAAATTGAGGTTAAACGAGCATGAAGGATGTTACAGTTTATAACTTGTCCGTCGTTTATTGTAGTAGAATGAATACAGAAAAAACTGATCACAACCGAAGAAAATAATTGTCTTTTTTTTACAGTGGCTTGATTATAAATTAAAGTGAATAAGTCCGCACTGGTTATATTTTCTAAGAAAAATGACATAAATATAACATTCTGTTAATCACACACATTAAGAGTAACTGTGTAATATTTACTTATCATAATTAAAGCACGCTTATCATTATCATCATAAGTAAGAGCACGCTAACTTTTACACATCATAAGCTTTCTTATTTACACTCATCATAAGCTTTCTTATTTCTACTCCTCATAAGTAAGAGCACGCTTATTAGTATCATCATAAGAAAGAGCACGCTAACTTTTACACATCATAAGCTTTCTTATTTACACTCATCATAAGCTTTCTTATTTCTACTCCTCATAAGTAAGAGCACGCTTATTTCTACTCCTCATATTTAAAGCACGCTAATTTCTACTCATCATAAGCTTTCTTATTTTTAATCCTCATAAGTAAGAGCACGCTTAATTTCAATCATTAATAATTAAGTAAAGGACGCTTATTTCTTCTCATCATAAGTAAAGACGCATATTTCTACTCATCAAAAGTTTAAAAAAACACGCTTGTTTGTACTCCACATATTTAAAGCACGCAAATTTCTACTAATTATAAGTAAAGCACGCAGAACTCTACTCGTCATATATATCTACTCATCATAAATAAAGTATGTATATTTTTTAACTCATCGTCATTATAAGTATACTGATCGTCATATTTTGATTGCTATCGAAATGTATTTAAAATTATTGATGCACGGTCTCTGAACATGTTAATATGTTCTACATTGTATTTATAACTAGTTTCTGTTCGTTAACATTTTCATATGATATAAATTCGCAAATGATTTAGAAAAATGTATGTGTGCGTGTGCGAGCGCGATCGTACGTGTTAAAAATGATTCAATAATCACATAATCTTTCAACACTCGTTAACATTTGTAATTTGTTATTTACCTCATATTTACATGTATTGTGTATTGAGTGAATAATAAAATCTTGAAATCTTGAACACTATACAGTAGTGTTTAAATACAATGGTCAACATGTAAAGGGCCATTAACAGTTTATTGTTTGACTTAAATTTCGTGCTAAATATAAAATTATCAGATTATACAAGCTTACCCGGGAGAATATAACAGTAAAAACTGATTAATCAGGCGGTGATATAGAGGAATATTTGATTACATTGTATCCATGTAAATGGAATGTGGTATCAAGGTATGTAATGACATTATTCAATATCGTTTTTTATTGATTTTCTTGATGACAAATAAGAAGTTTGTAGCAAAACAGTAAAAACTTTTAAGTTTCTATATCGGAGATAAGTATAACAAAATATGTTTTTGAGAGTTTAATGACAGAGGTGGAAATTAAAGGAATAATCTTTTACTTCTGTAAGTTGACTTTTTTTAGTCATTTTGGATCATTGATTCAATTTTTTTCAGTGTTTATCATTGACTTATGTTGTTATGTCTTTGCAAGAGGGGATGACAAGAGAAGATGGGGTGGGGCGAGAGAGATTTTGCTGATTGTTTTTAGTTTTCATTACTCTTTTTAACTGTTTTACCGACAACAGCAAAAAATTCAACACTGTTCAATTCAGTCTTGTTTTATGCTTGTGATCGTTCGTGATCATTTATTAAACTGTTAAAATATTTTAGTGTTGAGAATTCATAAATGCTTAAGTCGGTGCTAGGGTACCGGACAGGTGACACTTTCAATTTCAGCCGGTGCTAGGGGCCCTGTGACACTTTCAATTGTCTCTCTTGAACAGATTCAATAAAACCAAAGCCGCGATATTAATGTTAATATATATTTTGTTGTGTTTTATATGAACAGAAAAAACAGTACCTCTGATTTAATATATTAATGATTCATCCTCTATATTGATGATTTGTAATGGACATACTTCGATTCATCCTCTATATTGATGATTTGTAATGGACATACTTAGACCTGATCTTGAGATAAATGTTAGTATGTATTGTAAAATTGTTTATATTTGTATGACGATGTATAATTGTACAAGTCAAAAAATAAAGTATCTGTTCTGTTCTGTTTCGTGTAAATCTTTTGATATAGTGTTCTATTCTGTTCTGTGATGTTTTATATGTTTTAAATGGAACTCCCATTTTCTGAGATTTTTACTTTTCAGCATTATGTGTAGTGCAATTCGGATTAAATTTAAAATTCATGTATGCAAATATGCAGAAATCCGTAATCAAACAAATATAAATACTTTTTTCAACCTTTTATACCTGCACGCTTCAAGATGAGCAAAAATATTTCAATAAAGTCAAACCCGATAAAAAAATGTACTAAGATTTTAGGAAAGGTATAAAGATTCAAAATTCTAGTAATCATTTACATGCTATAGGCTTTTAATGACGAATTTTTCAGTATTAATAACTATATATTTACTGCGTTAAGTACTTACGCAGTAAGGACTATTTTTGCATATTTTGACCTTTTTATAATAATAAGCATAGGTTGTAAGTGCAATTGATAATGTGTAAATTGAATTCTTTTTACAATATCATACTGTATTTTCAAATTTTCATGAAAATTAGCATGAATCTGGAGGCGTGCTGCTGTAATGTATTCAGACGATTTGTTAGTTATACGAACCTTAAATATATATTAACTCAATGTTTTTTGTCATTTTGACGACGGTCGTTTTATTTATATCTATATTCAAGCAATGAAGCGAATAGATGTCTTAATGGAAGATTTTACGTTTTTATTTCTTACATACGGAAACGTTAAATGGCCTCAATTTAGTGCGATCATGATATGTAGCCGACTGATTTATTTTCCGATTTGATAACATGTTTTAACACAAATCAAGTAATATATCTAGAAAGAGCATCGGAACATGAGATTATCTGATTCGTACGAGTGGGGGTAGCCCTCGAATATTTATCAGATTGCCGAGTGTTTTGATGTTCTTTCTCTTTTGTATCATAGTCAAACATAAAAGCACGTTCCCTGTGTTGGCACAATATGAAACCCCGGAAAAAGTAACCAATGAACGAGCATCTGAACAATGACACCTTTTCAACAGAAAGGGCATCAAACTATAATAAGAGTGATTTTGTATCATAGCTGTTGAAAATATGTCAGAGTAAGTCGTATACATATACATGCACAGTGCGTTAACAGAACAGAACAGAAGTTTATTCAACAAAATTGACTTGAACACATCGCTTCATCGTCATTCACATATACACATGCAACTGGAGTGTAGGTACTAGTTACCCGCACTCCAGAGCATGCCCATTGATTGGCTCATTGTTGCTGGGGTTAACTTATTGTGACGACAGAGAATCGGAAAGCGACAGAAATATCATATTCAGATCCTCGTTCATTGGTTACTTTTTTCTGGGGTTTCAAATTAGGCAACAGGGAACATGTTTCCATGTTTGACTATGATACAAAAGAGAAAGAACATCAAAACACTCGGCAATCTAATTAATACTCGGAGGCTATGCCCCCTCGTATAAATCAGATAGCGTCGTGTTTCTATGCTCTTTCTATTACTTATTTATTAAAAAATTACTGTTATTTTGCTAAATCTTTTCTCGATATTTTTGAAGTTTTTTTCTGCCTAGGTGAGAAAGTATCGTTTCGTCTTTGGAAAAACATTTTTCATTTTTACTAAAATTTGCCTAGATAAAAAAACATCATGAGTTTTGAGAAAAATGGTACAAAGGATGTTGTTTTTGTGAATAAATTAAATTGTTTTCTGTTAAAAGATCTAATAAAAATCAGTCGACCTTACACATCACGATCGCAATAAAAGGAAGCCCTTTAAATGAAGGCCATTTAAAGTTTCCGTACTTATATTCGCTCAACAATATACACTGATGAAATGAAAAAACAATGTATATAAGCTTACATGTATTATTATTCACTAATGTATGTACAATATGAAATAAAAGTTAAACATTTATTTTCCTGTATGAATTGTGCTAAAACGAGGCTGCACTTATAAATAAGATGTGTAACTCTTGCGAGTTCATAGCATTGTCTTTCTTTTAAAGAGTTACGTCCCATCATATTATGCAAAGTAATTGTAAGGTGTTATTTTGCATATTAAAATGAAGAATAATTTTACAGCATGATAACTTTCCGGATCATTTTCGTTTTATATTTATATTATTTTCTTCCAAGCGTTTACGCATGCGCGGTTTATGAAATGATGTGCTGTTCAGTGTTACATCATTTTTTGGTCGAAAGAAATAAAAGACATTTTGTTTTGAAAAAATATATAATAATCTTATTGGCGGAAAAAAAGAAAATAAATAAATAGAAAATATAAAATCACTATTACTGCTCATACACATGTATATTAATTGAAATGATTAAAGATCCTGTATGTTGTAATTGAGGTTGTATACCACACTTAAGTGAATTATATATATGTATATAATTATGCTTATAAAACAAATTTTCAAACATCAAAGAATATGTAAAATATGTACTGCAAATATTTGTAAATATTATATGTAATCATTAAAATATATGAGTTCATTTCTTATTTTAAAAAATTGACTTAGACTTTATTTTATTACCTCCCTTTATTTACATGGAATGTTAAATTCGGTAATATCTTAAATAAAGCTTTTTGGAACCTACAAAATTGATGAATCTAAATTTGAGCATCATATTAATGATAAAAAACATAAAAAATTGTGTAACAGGATCTTTAATAAAGATGCATTTGTTAAAGTGTATAAAGTTCTACATTTACTGTCTACAGGTATCTAAAAACATGTACTTGATTGAATTTTAAGAAAATATTTGAAAAAAAAACCTGTATGAAATAAATATATTTTTGCATATTTCCTTACATCCGGGTGGTGAAGGCATTTAATCATTGTTAAACTGAAAAATCTTACTTAATAGCAAAAATGTCTTGGTTTAAACATATTTATTTAAGCTCGATTGCAAAACAAGTTCTTGCAACTTATATTAATCACTTCCGAGTCCGCTTTAGTACTGGTGTCATAAGAAGAAACATGATCGTGACCCGACTAGGGCTCGAACCAATGATCACTGGGTTAAGAGGCAGACACCTTATCCACTAGGCCACCGCTCCCCTTAATAACATGTTTTGTTTCTAAACATTTTTTTTATTCTGTTTATATACAATATTCATGAGTGTTTAATAATAGAGATGTTGTATGTTACAAATGTTTTAACAATTTACCATAATATTATGGAAGCAAACTCATTTTACCATTTAATAATTTTATAAAACTATTTCATTAGATAAAAAAATAGCTACCCTATATATACATACGATCTTACATGCGTTATTAAATATTGATATTCCAGACCACATATGGAAAAAATGTATTTATAAATTATTGAAACCAGGCAATCGTACATGCATATTAGATATAAATATTTAAAACCTCAGAAAAGAAATATGTGTTACATAATTGTATGATCATACAATATGTTACGTATAATAAATATTACGTTATTTAATTATTTAATATTATTATTATTATTATTATTATTACAATATTATAAAATATTACCTGTTTCAATATACATATTAAATATTTCAGATATTAAGTTTATTGGAGATGTTTCAGTGAAACAAGGGGGTGCGTTATTTAGCGTTCACCACATATGAGCCGCGTCACGACAAAACCAACATAGTGCGTTTGCGACCAGCATGTGTCCAGACCAGCCTGCGCATCCGCGCATTCTGATCAGGATCCATGCTGTACGCTATCAGCTTCTCTACTTGTTATAGGGTTTGTAAGCGAACAGCATGGATCCTGATCAGACTGTGCGGATACGCCGGCTGGTCTGGACCCATGCTGGTCGCAAACGCACTATGTTGGTTTTGTCATGACGCGGCTCATATATAGACAGATGTATATCTTAACTATTGAATAAATAAAATCGTACAGTCATATTAAATATTTATATTGCAGTCAACAGACAGTCTTTACTGTAGAGAAGTGGCAGTGAATCACAAAGATGCGTTACTTGGCGTTCGCTAGCGCTGGAATTATCTTCACCTTCTTGTTCTGTTTAATGTATGAAAATAGTGGAATAATATATTACGAGCAAGGTGAGTTTTTTTGTTAAATTTATATTTAAAGGCACATTATGCTTTAGAAATCCAAATTATTTTGATTTTTTTTAGGAAATGACATTATTTTACAGTATTTGGACGTAATGCTGTATAAAAATTTAAAGCGTTTAAGAAACGAAATAAATACAAGATAAAATAATATTTGAATGACATTGCTGTTTTAAAGGCTAAGTTCGTATTTTATACACATGTTCACCTTTTTGTTCTGTTTAATATATGAAAATAGTGGAATAATATATTACGAGCAAGGTGAGTTTTGTGAAATTTATATTTAAAGGCACATTATGCCTCAGAAATCCATATTATTTTTTATTTCATTTTCTTTTAGAAAATGTCAAACATGGGGTTATTTATGTTGTAATAATTGATTTAGAGCATATTAAATGTTTAACAACTGAAAAAAAATGTGGCACAGAATGTGCAGTAATGTGTCATAATGATGGCAAAATGTAAACAAAGTAGTATTTTTGACTTCCATACAAAATACTCATTCACTGTTATACTATTATACTCATTGCCAAACAGAGCAAATAACGTAAAAGATAGCTCTAATCTGTTACAAATGAAATATTTTTGGAAACTGTAACAAAATACCAAAAATAAATTTTTTTTGAGAAATAAAAATGAAAGTATTTCTAAGGATAATGGGCCTTTAATATTATTTACTAATTTTTCTACAATATTTAAACAGTATTTAAACGTAAGGCTAGTATATAAAAATTTAAAGCGTTTTAGAAACGAAATAAGTACCAGATAAGAAGATTTTTTTTCCAGACGAAAATAATATTTGAATGACATTGCTGTTTTGAAGGTTAAGTTGGTATTTAATTCACATGTTCTTAAACGATTCTTCCATTTAATTAACTAGGGAATTGTTTTTACAAGTAAGATTCTTGATATGTTTTTAAAGTGACAGTATGCCCATCATGAAGTGTGTGTAGTGAGTGAACAGTTTAAAGTATAAATAAGTTTTTTAATTTCGCCATAATTCCTTTCAATTTTATGATTAACTTTGCACGAACGATAAATAACTCACGTGACCCAAGAAAATCTATGAAAATTTCCATCTCTTCATTAGTTATTGCAAAGGTTTTCATTTTAAGTGCTTCAATTGATTTGTGTCAGACTTTCAAATATTATGTTTTTTTGCACTTATTGGACTCAGTGTAGCTCTTTTAAAATCTTAAATAAAAACAAAATGTAAGACTTAGTCAATATTAATATACACTGCAATATACATGTATACATTACACAGTATGGAGAAATATATAGTTTCAAGTTTATTAGCATCATCAGCAAATCAATTGCCTTTGGCCATTTACAAAGAAAACACATGAAGTATGGCAAAGACATACAATACAGAATAGTATAATAACAATACAAATTCATAGTTTCAAGGGTATTTTTACGCAATTCAAAAGCTTCTTTAATAAATTTCGATAATAAAATCAGATTCTTTTTGCTGTTACAAGACATAATACTATTAAATTTATTCAAGGAAGGCCATGATATGTTACCAAGGTATTTCTGGCGAATTTGAGAGTATTTTGTAGAACATAGGAGAAAATGATATTCCGATTCTGTTACATTTTGGTTGCACATTTTACATAGACGATTTACTCTATCTAATCTACTATATATATATATTTAATTATCTGAATTGATTTCCATTCCATACAAACAAACACTGTACTATTTACTTGTCATAAATAATTAAATCTCATAAAAGTGCACTTGTGAAAACTCTGTGATAAATAAGTGATAGAAGGAACGGGTCAGATAGCCGGGTGATATTGATTTCTAATATATTAATTAATAATGGAATAACAGTTTGCGATGAAATGGTATCCGTGCTTACATATATATGAATTAAAAAATAGCAAGATCTGCCCCCCCATTGTTGTTTGATCCTTATTAGTGTAGTGAAGTGCTGAACGGTGTCTCAATAATGAATTACCGTAAATATTTGTTGATATTCACAGATACAAATTTACTCTTATCAAAACACATTTCTTTTAATTCAGTTTTAAACGTTTCATTTTAAAGTTGCTGTTGATGTTGTTGTTGTTATTGTTATTATTTCACACTACGTTTAATGTAGTTCAACATATTTTTATCAATTCTCTTTTTATACAGGCATGTTAGAATTGAAATAGATATCCACTTTTCTCGCGTTGTAATATAATAATGCACGGTTTATCGTTCAAATACTATGTAATTAATCACTCAGGCCTATGAGTGAATATATTCCTGCGCATTGGAACTTGAACCGTGCATTATTCTACAACAATGCACTCATTTAATTGATATATATTTCCATAACAATATCAATTGTTCCCAAATCAATACTACATGTACTTCAAAATAGACTCAACCTCTGTAATACAACACTTTTTAGCAACGACCACATTATTTATCACCGAAAGGGTATTGTTCAGTACAGGTTTCACTGTATCACTATGATGATTAAAAGGACTTTTAGAAATGAAACATAAATGTAAAATCATTTAAAATCTATATTTAGTTAAAGATATACTATGCTCAAATTTCAAATTTGAAAATATTTATAATTGCTACACAGTCACTTTGTTAATAAAAAATAAACTTGTTTCAATTTCACACAAAGTAGATATGTGGTGTTTAAAATTCTACACACTATAGGTGGTTACAATATGAATATATAGTGTCATTAAAAAAAACTGGCAGTTTTTTAAGAATAAACCAAATTTACATGACCTGTAATAGGGAACACAGCTTCCAATACATATTTTATTCATTCTTTTATTCAAATTGGACATATTCGGTAAGAATTATATTGATTTCATTAAATTTCTGTGATAGGGAACACAGCTTCCAACACATATTTTATTCATTCTTTTATTTAAATTGGACATATTCGGTAAGAATTACATTGATTTCGATAAATTTCTGTGATAAAAATATTTTACTGCAAGGATGAGCATAGTATATCTTTAACATGCACTTTGAATAATGTCGTTACATTTCAGATAACAGTTACACTGATATTAGAAGCCAACATAACGAGAGTTTGTTTGTCTATAGTACACCAGAGGATATGTTTGTATCTTATATGTACAACTCCACTACTGATATCCCCTCTCAAGATGAAGAGCTGACAAATTTTTTACAAAAACTGCAAAAACAGATTAAAACTATGGCGGCGAACAGTTCACGCGACGTCATGGCAACTATAAATTACAAAATGACGTCATCAAGTAATCATTTAAAGCCAGGGTATTCGACGGAGCAAAAAGAAAGAATTAATAGAATTAAAACAGTTTGTAAAGACACAGATTTATTTCGGGACCTTATATACAAAGGTAAAAATAACACAAGGTACTACTACTCTAAAACTTACGGATTTTCATATTGTAAGGTTCCCAAATCAGGATCGACTTTCTGGACGCAGGCATTTTACATTCTTGAAAATGGAGTGGCGAATTCAGAGACTGTGTTTTCTAAAGCAAGGTCACGTGTCCATGGTTTAATGGGGAAGTTTAGTGTAAATTTTAATAGCCAGCAAAGAAAACACTCTTTGTCTGTCATTGTGTCACGTGACCCGTTTAGTCGTCTGTATTCAGCGTTCATTGATAAGTCATTCTTGTTTCTAAATATAAACCTAAATCGTGAAATCATGCAGCTCAGGTCGCCATGGAAGCGAAGTTATTGTCTTGATGACGTCACATTTCAAGAATTTTTGGATTTTATCATTCTTAAAGTGGGAATGGGACAGACATTAAATCGCCACTGGGCACCGATTTATAATCTATGTCGTCCGTGTGATGTAAACGCTTATATACTTGTAAAACAAGAAAGCTTTTCAAAAGACGTAGAGCAGGCATTGAAAGCGTTCAGTGTACCTGATGAAAAGCTTGACACGATTTTATCAGCGTTACATGAACACAGAATTGAAACAACTATTCCAGGAATTGTTCAAACAGTGATGAATAGAAACAAGATAACGAAAAAAGGAAGCTGCGTATATGGCCAAAAATTAATACAAAGAATATGGACCGCTTTTAAAATACAAGGGTACTTGAAAGAAACAATAGAATTTCCGAGCAAATTGTTTAATAATAAATTACAATATGACGACACATCATACGTCACAGAGGTTATACTTGCTTCTATAAATAGAAATAAAATGACGTCATCGGAAATGAAACGACAACGTCATAGAGCGTTAGTAGACGCGTATAGTGAAATTAGATATGAAACATTGGAACAAATTATAGAAATATACAAATTGGATTTTAAGATTTTTAATTATTCTACAATTATTCCACATGATTAATGCATGCTCAATTTAATTTCTAATTATGTTTGAATTACAGATTTAACATTATTATGCCCCTCTAGTCAGCCAGTTCTTCTACGTAGAACTACATGTAAAAAAAACACTTTTGGAAAAGACCAAGTATACCTGACTTTGTTTGCATTGATGAATTCAGAAAATGAAATAGAAATCAGAAACTTATCAATGGATATATTTAAAGCTTTCGATGTTCGAAACACTTTTCTTTACAGTTAAGGTATTAGGATCCTAATGGGCACTATCAGGAACTAAAGAATTGACATCATAGGTCAGATGTATACCTTAAAGTACACTTGTATGCAAAATTTAAACAAAGTTTACCGTACGGAAATCAAGTTATGGCCACTTTTCTGAACTCAAGCTAGGATGTTATGAGGGCCCTGTTTTTAGAAATGAGGAACCTGTAAAAAATCAGCAATAACATTCTAATGAAAAATGTTTTCCCATGAATTTTTGGTAAGAAACAAATAGTACCATTCAGCTAACAATCCACATAAGCAAAATTATGGTTTCTACTTAAAATTTATGAAATCTGTATAAAAAAGTTACCCTACCCCACCCATTTTTACCACATGTCTTACCATTTTCTACTTAGGGAGCATAATTAAAAAAATTCTTAAAATTTACCCAAATGAGTGCCTGCTTTCAAAGTTTCCCTAAAATTTTTAAAAAAGTATATTGGTTGATCTTGTAAAATATGAAATACTTTTACCGTCTAGTTTTGATTATATTACACTTTGAAAATATCAGGTATATACCATATTTATTACTAGATTTAGCATAATTTAGCCAATAAATACCAATATAGATTAAAAATTCAAATTTAAACACTTTTTTCTTTCCACATGTGACATGAGAGATACATAAATAATGTTAAAAGAAAAAAAGAAAGAAAAAAAAGTTGACCCTTCTGGGGATTGAACCCATGGCCCTCATTTTCAATGTAGTTAACAGTAATTCTAGCTTATTTGAATACTCTTCAAAGCGGAGGTAATGCATTAGGGTGCTAATACCTTAAAATCAAAAGTTTGTCCCAAACGCTGTAACACTGTTTAATTATATACTGTTATTTTTGTTTTGTTGTGTGATTGATACCCTTCTTGATAGGATGGTATCTGTCTGAAGTATTTATTTACCAGTAGATATATAGAGGATATTTGTTTGTTTTGTTTAAAAATACTGTGTATTTTAATGATATATTTTTTTATAAAGTATTGATATTGATCATTTGACTGTAAGATATGCATATTTGTTATTAGTCTGGAGTAACTTCCCCTTATACTACGTTATACAAGTTACACTACTTTCCGTAGTAAATGTAGGCAGGGGACCAGACTAATTTTTTATACGTACTGTGTACGCATGGGCATATTGCCCGGATGTATTTTGAAATAAAGTCTTGTATTTTATTTTAATAAAATGAATCATGTCTTTATCACGTAAGAGTTATCGAACATATTATTTGAAGAATGTAACTTTCCGGATGAGGACAGCGGTGTAAACAAAGTACGGTGATCGCACGCGGTAACTATTATCCGGTGCACGACATTACATCGAAATAAATTTGATAGAATACGACAATTAAAAGAATGGACAAATGGCCGAATACGACAAAGTATCGAATGAAAATTTGATAGAAAAGAATAAATTGTCGAATATGGTTGAAAATATGAAGAAATATTAAAAAACACTTCAAAAATACATGAATATAAAAAAAAAAACTTTTATAATAAAAATATTTTTTACCAGACCACTTAAATTTAGTGTTCTTTAACCTATAAAGAATGTTTTTTTACAACACAAACAAACTGGTGAATGAAGCAGTATCAGATTGATGCTATGAACTCGAATCTGAAATAATCCACTTTTGTTTTCATTGTTAAAGTCGACATGTTGTTGCAATCGCAACTTTTCGACCCTTTCCGTCAGTCTTCGACTTATTATAGATAATAGCCGAGGATGTTCCGATTGATGTTGTTGGAGTTACTAAATTTTCGTCCCAAATAGAAACGCCTTTTATCTTCATTTAGTAGTAAAGCGCAACATAGTTTAATGAACGGACACTCCACCTGGTACTTTCTAGGTCCCTAACACCGTCTAGTTATAACTTTAAATGGACTAAAAGTGCCGTGTTTGGTTTTTTACTATAAAGCCTAGTGTGAAATGTACTATTAAGAAATTAAAGTAATGACTATCTTATGTCGCACATTTTGTAGGCAATCAATTTTTTTTTTAAATGACTTTGTAAAGTTAACATTTTCTTGTAAAAGATGAAAAAATAATAAAAATATTAAATAAATAAAAAATCGATTAATTAATTAATCAATAAATAATAAAAATCAAATGATTATTGGCCAAATATAAATTTTAACAGCGACATAATTTTTATATTGCCTCATTTGTTTGAAAGGATTTTTGTAAAGATTTTCACGATAACAATTAATAAGAATATTATATCTAAAACACTATAAACTCTAGATTGTTTACCATTAAAACTTGCTTATATGGAAATATTAAAGCAATATCCTAGCTTTTATAAGCAACTGATAACAATACTTCAAGTAATATAACTATGTCTTATAACTGATGAATCTAGGGTTCAATTTATGATAAATAGAGTATTAAACTCGTGTAAGTTCACTACTGAATTTATTGAACTCGTTGAATAAATTAATATTATGCCCGTCAGAGGCTCGCATAATATAATTTTATTCAACTCGTGCAATAAATTCAGTATTGAAATTACACACATTCAATATCCTCTATATAATGAAATTCATGTAAATGATAAAAATCGGGAAACTACATTTTACTCTACATTAAAGAGAAGATTGTTTTCGTTTCCTCTTCAAAAAAAGTTTATACCTACTTCGTTAAATCTCAAATTTTTAACTAATATAAGCCAACCGTTTCCATTCAGATAATAACTTTAAATAAGGCTATTTTTTTATCTCCTTGAGTCAATTTTCTTCTCGCGAGCATTGAGGCCATTTTGTAGGTGTCAAATGTTAAAGAAATGCAAGATATATATGGTTTATCTGATTACTTTTTTGAAAATAATATTGTAGATAGTAAATTATTTCCAAGAATATTTAAACAAAGAGTTATTGATAATTATATAAAAATATGTCATTCATCTGTAGAAAACAATAATGTTATAGAACTTTTAAAAAAATGTTCAGAATTATATTTATACGAAAACTACCACAAATCTTAGATTTAACATCACAAAAATTAGAATATCTGCACATTCACTAAAAACACAAACGGGTAGGTATCCCACAATACAAATCCCTCGGAGTGAAATATTGTTTATGTTGTAATTCTATGGATTTAGAAGACGAGTATCATTAGTTTTATATGCCCATGCTATGTTGTCATATGGAAAACAATATGTGAAACGTAATTTTTTTTATAAAAGACCATCAATGTGCAAATTTATTTAACTGATTTCTTCTTATAATAAAATTATACTTACTAATCTAGCTAAATATTTGAGAGAATCGATTAAAATCAGGAACATTATTGTTAGTACTAACAACTGAATTTTGATATTTTGTTAGGACAAATAGATCAAAACCAACACAAATTAAGATATCAATACATATTTCGCTTTATTAGCTTCGTCTGTTGATACATCTTTTGATATTTTGTTACAAATTTATATTTAAAATTTAATTGATTTGTTGTATCAAATATGTTTATACTCAAACCAAATTGTTTTATAAGTGCCTTATTCGCCTTATCGTTTATCACGAACAATCGAAATATTTCCATAGCCTGAAATCAAACATTAGCACTTTACATATTAGAAAATTATAAACAAACACCTTAGAAATATTCTTAATGTATAAAGTTAAAAGGTTCTAGAAAAAATATTATATTTACCTTCAGAGACACACATCTATCGTTCACAATGATTAAAGCATTAATAAATTCAAGAATACTTCATATTTGCCTGAAAGTGATATACATTAAGCACTTTTTAAATCCTCTATAAAGATAATTATAACAGAGAAAATTCCCAGAATCGATTAATATTTTTCTTTGTACTTGATAAGTAAAAAAGACAACATTGAACATTTATTCTGAAGATAAATTATCCATTAAGATAAAAAAAAACTTAAATCCTGCGTATTAAACAAATATGATTTTATATCATATTAACATGAAAAGATCACCAAATAATATCTTGACTAACTCCCGATAGAAATTATATTGTTTTTTCTTTGTGCTTTTTGTTATTGTTGTTGTTGTTTTATTTCAGATTAACGTAGAGATAAGTCCGTGCAGTTTTAATTAACATCTGTATGATAAATTACGAAAATGTTTAACATGTTTCAGAATGTGTTCTCACAACCTAGAAATTGAATTCGGAAGATATAGTGGTTCACAAATAGACGAACGAATCTGTAAAATGTGTAATACAAAAATGATTGAATCAGAGTTTCACTTTCTATTAACTTGTCCTGCATATGTTGATTTGAGAGCTAAATATTTTGGTAATTGTTCATGGCCCAATGTACAGAAATTTGTTAATATTATGTTTTGTAGTAGTAAATATAAGCTGTATAAAACTACAAAATACATATATGAGGCTTTCCAGTTAAGGGCCAAGCCGTTGTTTCCTTGAGCAAGAAACTTTACATTCATTGCTTAGTACTGGTTGGTTCCAGGAACGGATTCGAGAGTGTTTCGATAAGCTTATAGCTTCCAACACAATCGAACTAAAATAAATTTGTATAAACTAAACTAAGGAAGATATGTCTAGAAACGGAAGATGCTTCTAAAACTTTGAAAATGTACATTTTTTGTTTATATGTCTATATGCTTATCTTGTAAACTATGTATGTTATATGTCTTGGCCATATTCGTCAATTGTATTTGTTAAAATGGCCAATGTTATGTAAAATATGCCGATTTGCCAAATAAAAACTCATTTTAAGCTGGAATGTAAGCGATGTATAACAGCGCGAGATCTGTAAAATGAACATTTAATTATCAATGATTTAATCGCCGATTATTATTTTTTGTTTGATGTTTTTTGCGGATGATGATTCGATCTTGTGCATAAAAGAATACCATTTAAAGGCACGTTTTCGCAATGAGGATATCGACATGCATACGCTATTCAAAAAAACAAAACAAAAAAAAACCCAACAAAAAACAAAAAATAGCCAAAAAAAAACAAAAAAAAAAACAAAAAAACATAGTACTACATTCAGAAACACAAAACCAAAACAAAACAGGCATTTAAAAGCTATTGATAAAATGTTTATATTTTAGAAATCAAAATGACGCCTAGCATCTATGCACCGTCAAACACCCTATACCTCACAGCCATGTTGTACAAATTTAATGGTGTTTCCTTGAAATCTTAATGTAAGAAATATATACACGATACGCGTCATGATAAAATACAAATACGGGACTTCATAAAATATACGAAAAAATTATCCCATTACTATGTCATTGACGGTCAAGTCCATAAAAGCAGATGTTGTTAATGTAATACTAAATAGAACGAAGCAAGGATTTATTAAGATAATCCAAAAATCACTAAAACAACAAAAATGCGACATTTTGTTCATTAATACCAAGTAATCAAACTATAATTTTACAATACTACATAAAACCTCACCGTTGTTCAGACAAGAGTTGAATCGTGATATTTGTTCATATGTGTTTTGTTGGTTTGTTTATCAATTAGAATTTATAGTAAAAGAGAAGTACATGGAAATCGTGCATTGTCTACATCTCAACTACAACAATAATGACTGGAATAATAGCTGACTAACAATGAACTGTATTTAATACGATATATCAAAGTAACCGTCCGGTTTGTATTTTTATAATGTTTCACTTGTTTTGATTTTTATGCTTGTTTCTTGTTGTTTTGTTGTTTTTTCACTTAGATATAGATCGCTTTCTGCTTATAATTAACTTTAAAAAACTGATTTTGATTCTATATGTACATTCTTTGCAAAACAGGCAATTTGTATTTTTATATTTTCTATTTTTGTCTACATATTTATAAAAAAATAAAGATTTATAAATGATTTTTTTCATGATGTGGCACTCTTTATTTTTTATCATGCCATTACATGCATTTCTGTCTGTTGATAAAGTGCATACCTGATAAATTTAGCTTTAACAGTCACAGTCATCTTTATCAGACACCTCATGAATACATACTGAAAAAAATGAATAGCATAATTATACCTCTTTCTAGTTTGAAAATATCAAACTGTTAAACTTTGAATCGAATACAATCTTTAATATTAAAGTTTCTCTTACGTATTAAGATTCCTTCATGGGGGAGGGGGTGGGGTGGTGCTATCCAGCTAACGTACGGAACGTCGATGGTTCTACTCAGGTGCCCGCTCGTGCCCGAAATATTGCATTTAGAGACACATCTATCGTTTTGTGTTATTTACCATATGTTAAATTACTGAAATATATTTTTAGAACATTTTAGGTCCCGCCATGATGTACTTCACGTACAATATGAGCACGAGAAAGTCGTGCATTTCACTAGTTTGTGTGTTATGTGTGATAGTTCTTGTCATCTACATTACATCAGAACGACAATTGATGGCATTTTATGTTGAAGGTATATATTAACTAATTGTTTATTATATATATTAATATCACTTGTATCATAGTTTGGGGACCTTTTTGTTGAAAATGTGTCAGCGTTAAATTGTATACATATACATGCACAGTGCGTTAACTGGAGTGCAGGTATTAGTTACCCGCACTCAAGAGCATGCCCATTGATTGGCTCATTTTTGCTGGGGTTTACTTATAGTGACGGAAGAGAGAAATATCATATTCAGATGCTCGTTCATTGGTTACTTTTTTCCCGAGGTTTCATATTTTGACAACAGGGGACGTGTTTTTTATGTTTAACTACGATACAAAAGAGAAAGAACATCAAAACACTCGGCAATCTGATAATTACTCGGGGGCTACACCCCCTCGTACAAATCACATAGCCTCGTGTTTCGATGCTCTTTCTATTACATAATTATACTAGTATCTGTTTAAATCCGTGGATATTATGATATTTTCCTTGCATAAATCTACCTTAACGAACGACTACGGGTGAATGCATATTCAAGAGAGGTGTGACATTTACTAGCTAGCTATCTTGGGGGATTTCGGTGTCTTTAAATAGAGAAAAACACAATCCCTCAAGAAAGACAAAAAACGACAAAATTGTAAATGTTGCAGGCTCAGTTTAATTGAGCCTGTTTAAGTCATATTTTTGCTTCATTTTCATAAAAGATTCAGACCATACATGTTACAATACATGTTATAATGTATGTTTTCCTATACATACTAGCCAAATAACAAGGGGTAAGCCCCATCCCCGCCATCTTCTTTGGATCAGCGCATGATATATATACAAGATGGTATATTAATGTTTTCTTATATAATAACATAACAGGGGAAATCTCTAAAACTTATTGTGATTTACGTGCCATTTTTGTTTAAAAGCATAAAAATTTACGTTTTTACTTAGGAATCATACGCCGCTTTTCATGAAATAATACTTACATTGAAGATTCCATGATCACTGCCGTTTTAACACATCTGCGGATGTTTCTAAATTAACATTTCACCATGATTACATGTTTAAATGTTGACTACTGTTTAAGCCGGTGCTATGGGTAGGTAATCGTCCATGAGAAGACTCAATATGACCGAGTCTGCAACATTTATTTCGTAGGGATTCTGTTTTCTCTTTTTTATTGCGTATTTGTATTAATGGTTTGTCTCAAATGCCATGTTTACCATGAAATTAGAAGAATTCGGTTTGTCAAAAATGAATAAAAAAATCGGAAACTGTAGAAAAAAAGGAAAAGCGGCTACGTGGAATTTTACAATATAACCCGACAATAATTATTGTCTCTAGGTTCTACAGGCTCAGTTAAACCGAGCCTGCAACATTTTCAATTCTGTTATTTTGGACTTTCTGGGATTCTTATTTTTTCTATTCCACCAATTACAAAAACCTGTCCTTATATATCTAAAGACAAAGACCTGGAAAAAGGATTAACAAAATTACATGAAAATTGCAGATCCGGCTTATAGGTTCAAACACTTTATAGGCTGCGTATTGAAATGTTCTTCTAACACAGCCATAAAAGTTTTTAATATTCAGCATACGTAATAAATAAATACAACAATAAAATTATCTGAAATTATAATTTAGAGTATCCATCACGCATTGATATACTACTCACAAGGTCTAATTGTCACGTTTATTTTTTTACTGTTTTTTTCCTTTCCAGAAAGCAAAATAGGGAGAAATAGCAAAATCCATACTGCCAGGACAGAACCTTTGACGAAAAGTTATTCCAATCAGGATATGGTAAGAGATAACAGACAGAAGGACATAAAAACAACTCCTATTATTACAACATCAGCACGGTCGTCTACCGTTAAATCACATTCATCACACTCGACAACATTGGAACCTCCTTCTAGTTCCATACAATCAGAATCATTGTTAACATCAACTTCTGTGAGTATAGTGAGCTCAACGAGACTTCACAGTTCTCAGAGTTATACTTCTTTGTTAAATTCTACTAGTACTATGACAACTAGCTCAACTAGCAACTCGGAGATACATACCTCAGAAAGTAGTACAGGTAGAATGACATCCACGGGACATATCTCTTCAGAATCACATAGGACGCCGCCTGTTGCTCTTAAAAACGGAAATAAAGTAATTCATAATGAACTAAATGCGTCAGATGATTTTGTACCAGTTCTTATTAAAACCAAAGATACGATAATGAAAATAAAAGCCGATATTAAGGCACCAAAAGGTGTAAATACAAGTAGTGCCAGTTACGAAAGTTATAACAAGGTTCACAGAGCAAGAATTGAACAAATAAAACATGTTTGTAGTGACAAACATTTGTTTGAGAATACAATGTTGAAAGGTCATTCAAAGATTATATTTTATAAGTCAGAAAATTACAATTTCTCTTACTGCAAAGTACCGAAAAGCGGAAGCACGTTCTGGACAAGGGCCTTTGGAATATTGAAACGTGGTTTGAGTTACGGTAATTTCATTTTCAAATTATCAAGGCGAAATGTTCACAACACTATGCTACAATATATGACAGATGTTCAGAATGTTATAAATGAAAAATCTAGAACAATCCTAGTGTCACGTGACCCATATTCACGCTTATTCTCAGCCTATGTAGATAAATCATATCTTCTCTTGATGAAAAGTTTAAATTTTCAGATACGCCACATACAGGAAGATTATGATATAACTAACATTTCTACCTGTCCGACTGATGTTACATTTCAGGAGTTTTTGGACTGGATAATATCTGAAGCAAGACAAGGTAAAACATTAGATCGACATTGGTCACCGGTTTACTCTCTCTGTCGGCCATGCGAAATTAATTCGTTTATTCTTGTAAAGCAGGAATCATTTGCCAAGGATGTTGAGTTTGCATTGCAGCAGGTTGGAGTTGAAAAAGACAAGTTTGATTATATCAATCAAGCGCTCCATGACCATAGGGCTGAATTAAGTCTTCCAGGAATCATTGATACATTGTTTCTTACAGCTAGTAATCTGGTAACTAGAAAATGTCTTGGCTATTTAAAGTTTTCAAAACGTGTTTGGGTATCACTTCAAATTCAAGGGTTTATCGATAAACAAATAGATTTTCCTAATGACAAAATCAACGAAACTATGTTTGCGAATAGTAAAAACCTTACAGAGATTGTTTTACAAACACTGCGAGACTTTCCATTGAGCTCTAGTCAGAGTCAGCATCAGCGATATGAATATCTTTATCAGGCATATCAAACAATTAAACCTGAAACTATAAAAGATATACAAGAACTTTATATACACGACTTTGTACTCTTTGGATATAATACTGAACCACCAACAAAATATTTTGATACCAAATGGTATTATCAATAAAAAAGTATTTCAGACGCCAAGAGTTTTTTGTGTTTATTTTAGATTATATTTACTTGCATGTGCATAAATTGTTTAATATTGATATTCATCACATACTTGTATCATAGTTTGGGGACCTTTCTGTTGAGAAAGTGTCGGAGTTAAATCGTATACAAATACATGCACAGTGCGTTTACTGGAGTTACCTGCACTCCAGAGCATGCCCAATGATTGGCTCATTTTTGCTGGGGTTTACTTATTGTGACGGAAGAGAAAGGAAAAGCGACAGAAATATCATATTCAGATGCTCGTTTATTGGTTACTTTTTCCCGGGATTTCATATTGTGACAACAGGGAACGTGTTTTATGTTTGACTATGATACAAAAGAGAAAGAATATCAAAACACTCGGCAATCAGATTAATACTCGGGGGCTACGCCCCCTCGTACAAATCAAATAGCCTCATGTTTTTATGCTCTTTATATTAATTAAGCCGCTTGTCCGGCTCTGTAGAAAGTGTTGCACGACATTATACAAACACATTTTTTGGCGTGACCATATTTCCGTTATACAGTCATAGGACAAAAACTGGAAACAAAGTGATCCCTCGGAAGCATTAATCACAACAAAATTACAAGAGAATGCAATCATTTATTTGTTTTTCTTTGAATTCCTTATCAGTTACAAATTATTTATCATTTTAGTGATTAGCCTGTCAGTGCTCTGCCTTGTGCCCTGTCCTGTTTTTGTTTGGGGTCCGCCTGGGCTTCTTGCCACTGGTTCTTGTTGCTGGGTCGTGCGGGGTTGCATTCATTGAACGCCTCCTTTCCTTGTTGATCTTGTTTATCATATTTTGTTGAGCCCTTTGTTGTTTTCTCGTCTCCGTAAGTATCTTCCCTTTTGCCCCAAGTTTTTTTTAAAATTTTGACCCTGCCTTCCACGAATCTCGAGTCCCCTTCCCCTGTACCCTTTTACTTTGCGGGCCTATCAATCAATCAATTATATGTTTTCTTTAATTTCCTTGTCGGTTACTATTATTCCTTTTAAGTATCATTTAAGTGATTATACTGTTCGTGCTCTGCCTTGTGCCCTGTCCTGTTTTTGTGATGACTTTATGTCAACATTTATATCAACAGCCGGCAACATTTTCAAATTTTGTCGTTTTGGACTTTCTTTAGAGATTCTATTTCTTTTCTACTTTATATCAAACAGCTCATTTTAATTTTTGTTTTTAAATTATAATTCATTTAGCGCTATTTATATTGTGTCGCTTGTCATGTACTTCCAAACAGGACCAAACCTGTCTAGATCAATCTAACGATAAGTTAAACAACGCTAGCAACTAGATATAACTGGTTTTAATCTGCATAAGCTTTCTTTTATTTCATAGTTTATCCTCTGTCATAAAAAAAAACAAATTAATCTTATTCGCCGTTAATAAGAACACATATTTTCCTTATAACATATAATGCTTGCTGATACCACGTTTTAACTCTTAGAAGTTTCTTAGTATGTTCCTTAAAAAATCAGAAGAATTGATGTGCATGTTTTTTGACATGTTTTGTTTTCCAAATGTCAACGTTTGTTTGGTTGGATTCTCAGTCACACCAATACTGTAATGGTTAAATTGTGACTTGCCAGGAGTAGAAACCCCGACGTCTGGTGTAAGAATACAATGTTCCTGGCGGACTTCGAAACAACAGCAGCTAGGGCAAGTTGTTTGATTTCGGACGCCCCAAGTGTAATGTATCTTTTAATAAAATGAGAAATAGCCGATTGACCCCGTACAAACATTATTGATTACAAACACAAGAATAATAAATAATCCCGTCATAAAAATGCTTGCATTATTCTTTATCCCCCATCGAAATAATTGTCAACGTAGGAAGATTTGCATACTAATCTTATTCGCATTTTCAGGGCATGTTTGTTTGATTGTTTGTTGTTTTTTTTGTAGATACATGCATTTATACATACCAAACTCTATTCCATTTATTGTTTTTCTGTATTTTACTTTAATATCTCATTGTTTTCAAAGACCTATTTGGTAATATGAAACTAAGTATTTGAATCTAAAGTTTTGTTTTTGTGTAACAGGTGCATATGGCATTTTCATTTTTGCACCGGCTTAAGCAGAATTCAACATTTGAACATAAAAAATGGTAAAATCTCAGATAAGAAACATCCCCATATGTAAGACGATCCTATGCAATAAATATCTGGAAACAAAGTGATCCCTCGGAAGCATTAAAATAATCAAAAACAGCAAAATTACATGAAAATTGCAGATTCGGTTTGATTTAGTCTGTTCATGAAGGATAATGTTAAAAGTGCAATATCCCTTACTCCCCCTAGCACCGGTTTGAGCAAGTTTAAGTACCCAGCCATGCTCAGCACAGCTAAGTACAACAACTACATTTTTGATGATCATAAGTTTCATAACCTCTTATTTTGGTTTAAGTGTCAAAATATTTTATATAAAAATTGACGATTTAAGATTTAGTTTATTTTCTGCTTTAAAAATTCTGGAAACAAAGTGATCCCTCGGAAGCATTAATCACAACAAAATTACAAGAGAATTGCAGACTCGGTTTGATTGAGTCTGTACATGAGGGATAATGGATATGTGCAACATCCCTCACGCCCCCTAGCACCGGCTTGAGCGGTACTCAATTCTCAACACTTAATAGTGCTGGCATCAATGATCCCGAAGGACCAGAAAATATTAAAGTTCACATACGACAGCTAGATTGGATTTTTATTTTTTCATGTTTCATAAACATTTAACATTTTTGTTATTATTTAAATATTGTTATATGACATACAGCTGTTGAGAGGAAGACTGTAGTTATTTAGTATACCAAAAAAAAAAGAAGGAAAAAGAAAAAAGTTACCGTCCACGCCCCCTAGCACCGGCTTAAGCAGAATTCAACATTTAAACGCCAAAATGGTGAAATTTTGAATTTAGAAACATCCTATATTTAGATGTAAAATTATACTAAAGTCCGGCCAAGTGGACTTACTTGGTAGAATGAAAATTGCATATGTGTTGCCGGTGCTGGGGGCGTGGACGGTAACTTGCAATTCTAGTACCGTTCATCAACAGGCCCAATCAAACCGTGTCTACAACATTTTCAATTTCGTAGGTTCTGGCGTTCTCTAGTCTCTATTTTAGTTTACAAAGCTTTCATCATTTTAATTTATTTTGTGCTGATTTTTTCTTTTTTTTACAATTTCATCATGAAGGCTACATGTTTCAGTAGAAGTATCATGTAGAGTATATTATCCTCTTTAAAAAGTAAATTCCCTTAAGCGTTGTATTAATTCTATTTCTCCTACTATAATATTTCCTGATGTTATTTGATACTTTTTTGTACTCAAGATTTTATCTTATAACGTGGCACTGTCATTTCTTCTCTGCTATAAAACCCAATCGACATTGAAATGTCGTAAAGTAAATGAGTAAATATTTTAAAAATGATAACAATGTTTGAAATCTGACTTATTAGGGCGATATTTTACGGCCGGAACATAATAAAAAATGAACCTTGTCAAAATCAAATCTTTACTAAGTCTTAAGCAGTAACGTTTAAGTAAGTTTATAACGCTTGTTATTGTCTGTCATTGATAGATTATTTTGATTAGTTTTTTATTTAGAAAATTACATATACCTTTACATAAGCTGAGAACGGTTCACGTCCAAGAAATAAAATCAGTATCTAAAAAACTTAAACTGGTGACTAAATTTAAGAGTAACAATATATAACTTATAAATTTGTGGAAATACAAGAACAAATAATTATTACTGGGCGATATTTACGGCCACAACGTATAGCTAAAACTTTGCTGTGGGAGTAATAAACAATCAACAAATCATAAATAACCGCTGATATTAATATAAATTAACTTATACTCAATGGTTGCGCTAGGTGTCTTTTTGTGTCTTCTACTGTAGGACGGAAATATTGTAGATATTTCAAGATTTGTGATACAAAACCCATAAACATAGTGCAAAACCCATAAACATAGTGCAAAATCATTCCTTTAATATCTTTTTAGTATATATTTTTTTATTCTAATATCTGTTACAAATATATATTTAAAGTTAACAAGTGTATTGTTTTACAAACCATTGTTTTTGTTGTTAACAATCATTCCAACATTCATTTCTGAGAAAACGAAAACATATCTTCATCGAATCATCTGCAAGATATTCACACTTTACACGGGTATATTAATATATGAACCGCGTCACGACAAAACCAACGTAATGCGTTTGCGACCAGCATGCATCCAGACCAGCCTGCGCATTCGCGCAGTCTGATCAGGATCCATGCTGTTCGCTATTAGTTTCTTTACTTGTAGGGGTTTATAAGGGTTTATAAGCGAACAGCATGGATCCTATCTGCGCAGGCTGGTCTGGATCCATGCTGGCCGCAAACGCTGCTTTTGTCATGAAGCGGCTCATATTATTTTTTGCTGCGTGACTCGTATTCACTTACCTCACTTGATATTGTATTTGAGAGATTTCTTAACTTGAAACGGTTCAAGCATAAATCATTAACTAAAGGTACATACATATATAGTTACATGTGAGCACTTGTAACCAATGATAATAATAACATATCTAAATGTAAGCAATTTATAATTTATATGTAAATATAGTAAAACTTATTTGTCCCTTTGTATTTAAGAATGTCAATAAATTTATTAAGATAGCTGTTTGCTGTTTCTAACATCCATGTAGTTTAATTAGGCATACTGCATCGCAATCCACCATTCTGAAATTTATAGAAATAACAAATTAGCCGCGTCATGACAAAACCAACATAATGCGCAGTCTGATCAGGATCCATGCTGTTCGTTTACAAACTTTATAACAAGTAGAGAAACTGATAGCGAACAGCATGGATCCTGATCAGACGGCGCGGATGCGCAGGCTGGTCTGGTCGCAAACGCATTACGTTGGTTTTGTCAGAACAGAACATATACTTTATTTTTTACTTGTACAATCATACATCGTCATACATAAATAAACAATTTTACAATACATACTAACATAAATCACAAGATCTTATCTAAACATGTCCATAACAAATCAATATAGAGGATGAATTATTAATATATTAAGTTGTATCTACTATATCTAAATTATTTGTCATGACGCGGCTCATTAATTAGTTTAGATTGTAGGAAATTTATTTAAGAACGACTGTATCGGAAGCTATAAGCTTACTGAAACCCTTTTGTATGTACACTTGATTATGTCTGTAAAATTATTTAATTGTATATTGTGTGTATATTTATACAATAAAATATTATTAAACTAAACTGAAACACTATCGAATCCGTTCCTAGAGCTCACCAGTACTGAGAAATGAGTGTAATGTTTCTTGTTCAATGAAAGAACGGCTGGCCCCTGACTGGGTTTGAACACATGCGGCCAGCGATCTGACGCGTTAACCACTCGGGCACGCCGTCACACAAGTAAAATATTAATAATAAATATGCTTAAATAACAAGTTAAACAAGTCTGCGAACTTGCAGAAACAATACATATAACTTTTTCAAAAATAAAACATAGTCATCAACCTTAATTACTTACTACTTCGTTTACACGTATGCGAATATGAATAACAAGATAAACTAAAAGCATAATAAAACAGAGTCAGCGAACAAAATTTCAATGATTATTCATACTAGTAAGATTTTTAAAAATATGTGTTTTCTTGTAAACGATTAAAAAAGAAATCGTTATAATGTGTGAAATACGAGTAAAGCAATATGATCAAAACTATACATACACTAGCGCCGCCACGACCTAGAAGAAAAGCAATTAAAACAATTATACATAATTATTTAGTATAAATTAACATAATTATTCAGTATTAATTAACATAATTATTCAGTATTAATAACATAATTATTCATTATTAATTAACATAATTATTAAGTATTAATTAACATAATTATTCAGTATTAATAAATATAATTATTTAGTATTAATTTACAATTATTCAGTATTAATTTACAAAATTTTATATGTATCTTCTAAATAACTTAATTATAAAAAAAAAGAAAAAAAGAATATGAATATATGTAAAAAACAATGTTTACGCATGATGCAATTGACAGGTAGTTATTTAAGTCATTATCTTAAAAAAAAACAAAAAAACATGGACAGTCTCCTGTTCTGGATTCGACCCTGTATTTCAGAAGTAAAGTTTGCGAAAAAAAATAGAGTATGCTTTCTCCCATTTACACTAGCATACGGTGAATAGATTTTTAACATACTGTCCCTTTAATAAAAAGTAAAAAAAAAAAAAAATTAATTAAAAAAATAAATAAAACATAAACTAAAATCAAGTAAACAAGTATGTTTCCTTCCATTTATTATGACAAGGTGAATAGATGTTTAACATACCTGATCCAAGTTGTGGAAGCCCACCTCTGTTGGACCTGAAAAAAATCATATCAATTCTTGTTAAAACTTAAAAAAAAAAACAACAACGCAAAATGCCTCAAAAAGAGCTACAAAGTCGATGTTATCGGGGCTGTTCAAGATAAACAATGGCGCCATTTTAAACACTATTTTATCTTAAGTATTCAATTATTGTGAATTCCAGAAAATATAATAAAAGTTGATGACCCCTTGTGGCCAGAGGGGTTGCCTTTAAAGGTTGAGAATCAGAATTACAGCCACTGTGTATCACTGCATGATCGCAAGAGGCGACTAAGTTTGGTTCGAATTACTGGATTCTATGCATCTCTTAGCTCTAGCAGGTGATTTTGACCACTGGCGTTGCTTTAAGTTTGTAACACCAGGTAAGCAAAAATCTTTTCCCTGTTTCCCGCCATATGCCCCATATGAATAAATTTTTTGATGCGCGAAAAGCCAAACCAAACCAAACAAAAAAATTTAAATTAAGTAAACAATGCGAGGACAAACAGATAAATAATCAAAAAAGATAAAATATTTAGATGTTAATAGAGTAAAAAAAACTGTTATAATGTTTTAACAGTAGGCCCTTTTAAATAAAACAAAAATTTTTATGGGTTTTAAAGTGATTTTTAGCTATTTTTATGGTGGGGAAGACCCTTTCGTGCCCCCTTTGTGCATTTTCAGGGACGAGGCAAAAACCCATGTTCCGTAAGCTATGGATAAAAATTAACCCCTTTGGGGATTTAATTCCCCGCCGGGAAGGGGGAATATTAAAGCAAAGGCTTTTAAAGATAATACAAAATAAAAAATTTTTTGTAATTTTTCCTGCCGAAAAATTCCCTAGGGTTCGTCCTTCTGAAATCAAATGCCGACAAATGTCATTATACAATGTTTCATTTATTTCAATGTTTATATGATGTAACATTTTAAAAGATATCTCAGAAATTGTTACACTGTGTATATATCAAGAAATTACATAAATTCTATGGTGTCCTAGAATTCTTCAGTTGTTTTAAAGGGACTTCACTGAGGTTTTTTGACATGACTTGACAGGAAATATTTTTTTTAGATTAACGTTCCATTTGATGCAGTGTAAGAACCAATAACTTTGTGCAAATTTTCAGATCATTAGCTCACTACGTTTTCACAGTATGATTATTTTTATTGTATAAAATGACCAAATATTGAAAAGCATTGCAAAACTTTTTAATCAAATCGGGCTGAGTATTTTCCACTATCTTATGGATATCCAATAAATACCGACAAAAATCTTAAGTATCTTTAGATATCTTTCTTGTTCAAGTGCGCCAGATGATTCATGTAAGAAATTTAAATTTTATGTTTTTATGCTTTTGAACCTCAGTACAGTAGAGTTCCTTTAAAACGTATAACACGGCGTAAACGACTTGAAATATAAGCTTGAAGCGCTTTAAAAATTAATTGCTGGAATTCAGTTTAACAAATAAAAATTAGAAACTGATCAAATTCATACGGGGAAGTCAAAGACCGGGTCCGCGAAGCGGGCCCGGGCTTTGGCTTGCCCGGCAATAGACTACATGTGTATATTTAAAAGGTAATCAAGTAAGAAAAACAATTAAAAAAGATATAGAATTATACACCTATCAATGAAATTTTCAGTGTCAGTATTAGTCGGGCGCCGCCATTTTCAATGTAACTCTATGATAATATGCGAGATATTCACATAACGTACAATCGCAGCTTTTCGGATTAATAATAATCGTCGAGTAGTTCGAGTGAAAACGGAAGCGGTGCGTGAAATAACGAATGACACATTTAAAACGGAAAATTAAAATGAATGATTTTTTAACCGACTTCCCTGTTCATAGGCTTTGCCTAATTTCATATTAAATTAATGATTTTTATACGGGGAAGTCAAATTCCGGGCCCGCTTCGCGGGCCCGGGCTTTGGCTTGCCCGGCTATAGACTACACGTGTATATATAAAAGAAAATCAAATAAAAAAGCAATTAAAAAATATATATAATTCTATACCTATCAATGAAATTTTCAGTGTCAGTTCTAGTTAGGCGCCGCCATTTACAATGTAACTCAATGATAAAAGGCGTTGTATTCCGATAACGGAACAAATCTCAACTTTTCGGATTAATAATAATCGTCGAGTGTTCCGAGTGAAAACGGAAGCGGGTATATATAATACCGAATGACACCTTTAAAACGGAAAAAATGAAAGGATTTTTTACCGACTTCCCCGTTCACAGGCTTTGTCTAATTTCATATTAAGGTACTAAGAAAAGAATGGTGGCACGTTGATTATCATAAGATATGACGTCACTAAATCAAATAACGTCATATATAGCGTGAGTCACCCTATAGAAACTTACTGTAAGCAGATTGGTACTCTGTCCTTTGTTCATTCCTGCGGCCAGTAATCTTTGAAGCAGCTAGTTTACCGCTGCAATAAAAAACATATAGCTAACGATGTACTGTAACTTTCTAATGAATAACTTTTTTTTATAAAATCTATTAGCAGAAAACTTATGTTGTTTCCATATAAAAATAGTAACAAAAAAAATAAAGAAAGAAGAAATCTAAAATATAGTACAGGTCATAGCATATTAATTGGTTGAGGAAGACCTCGGGTGCCGTTCCGTGCATCAGGCATGAACAATGAACGGACCACCGACGTTCCGTAAGCTAGCTTGATAGCTTCCTCACATAAGTGTAAATTGCCACTAAGAAATACCAATTATCTGTCATTGTATAGAGAGGAGAAAAGATCATTATCTTTAAAGGAACTCAACTGAGGTCGAAAAACATAAAATTTGAATTACTTATATAAATAAAAAAGAGCGCTTAAAATAGAAACACATACAAACGATTACTGTAAAAAACACAAAAATAAATTAAAAAGTTGTGTATATATAATATATATATATATATATATATATATATATATATATATGAGTGAAAAGCGTTGCAACGTTTTTCAATTTTGAGTTATTTTTTCATAATAAGAATATATATTCAGAAAAAAATAACTGAGTGAGCCAAAGATAAGAAATTTGCCCATTTATTGACCTAGACTTACATTTATCACGAAAAATTTTATCAGTCCCATCATGTTAAAAAAAACCTTAGTTAAGTCACTTTAAGGAAGAAAAAAAATGATACAAATAATGCAAATGATAATAATACAAATAAAATAAATGATACAAATTATACAAATAATATAAATGATACAAATAATACAAATGATACAAATAATACAAATGATTATAATACAAATAAAATAAATGATACAAATAATATAAATGATAATAATACAAATAAAACAAATGACCCAAATTATACAAATATATAAATGATACAAATAATATAAATGATACAAATAATACAAATGATACAAATAATACAAATGATAATGATACAAATAAAACAAATGATAATGATACAAATAAAACAAATAATATAAATGATACAAATAATACAAATGATACAAATAATACAAATGATACAAATAATACAAATGATAATGATACAAATAAAACAAATAATACAAATGATAATAATACAAATAAAACAAATGATGCAAATAATACAAATGATAATAATACAAATAAAACAAATGATACAAATACTATAAATGATACAAATAATACAAATGATACATATAAAAAAATTCTAATAATAAAAAAAACAAATGATACAAATAATACAAATGATAATAATACAAATAATATAAATGATACAAATAATACAAATGATACAAATAAAAAAAAATGATAATAATAAAAAAAATATAAATGATGCAAATAATATAAAAGATACAAATAATACAAATGATGATAATACAAATAATACAAATGATAATACAAATGATAATAATACAAAAAAAACAAATGATACAACTAATATAAATGATACAAACCTGTCGCCACCACATCTATCAGAACCGGATGATTCTAGACCACCTCTTGTATACCCGTACTGACTGCTAGCTGCAGAACTTAGGTTACCTCTACTATTACCAGTCATGTCACTATTCTGTCTTGCATTCAACCTGTTTTGTTCCATTTCCAGAAGAAGTTGTGCGTGCTTAAATTAAGAAAAAAAGTACGAGCAATGAAGGGAAATGTTTTAAAATTTATTGTAGCTTAATTTGA